TGAACTGGCAGCACAGCTGCACCGTACACGTCCCCAATGTGAGAAAAATAAGAGCTTCTGAGCGGATGAGACTTTCGTATGGTCGAAAATTTTATATATGTATATGTGCAGGTGTATATATATACATATGTAACATGTATATACAAACATAGATTCAAAACCACCAGGTGTTTGCATTAGCTTGTTGGGCCATGCTGGCAGCAGCTGCTGTGCTGGCGACTGGTCTGCTGCATGTGTGTGCGATTGAGCTCTCGCAAGCTGATTGGGATGAGCCTTGGCATAGAACTCGAACATCCCCTTGTAACCAGCAACGATGATATTGAAACAAGGGGTATCGTCCTTCCTCAGCGTGTCCCTTTGGGCCGGCTGCGTTGTAGCCAGACGCTGCGGAGAGCGACAGAGAGAGAGAGAGAGAGAGAGAGAAAGAGAGAGAAAGAGAGAAGGGGTAGTGGAGATGTATGTGGAACTGACCTTCACCTGGCTGCATTTGTAATCATTTGATTATTAATAAGTGCGTTCCCACAAAAATGGATGAGTGCCAAATCTATAATCTATACGCATGTTTTCCAGGAGAATATGTTATAAACCCAAGCACCTGACTTATAGAAATCCAGCTCTCCCTTTTTGACCAGCCGAGTCGGTGGAAGAACGGAGTTTATATAATGTCTTTGCAGAAATCTGGCTATCCAGCGATCCTTCAGCCCTGGTCCTCCCCGCCTAGGAAATGATCCGTGGAAAGGCCGTGTTCCTCAAGTTCTTTACGCCTTGGTGTGGGCAGTGCAAGACCATGAAGCCAGCCTGGGATGCCCTGATGGAGGACGCGCCAGAGTCTAGAGAAACATGGCATGTACACCGGGGAATGGAGCATCTCAAATGTTCCACTAGGTTCAGATGAATCTTGGGGTGATGCTGGACGCGTTGGGTTTCAAGACCTGGAAGATAGCCCGATGTTGGCTAATTATCTGCGGCCGTCTGGCATGTTCTATGTCAGCATCTCCTGGTGGACATTGCCATGCGCAATAGCTAGGTTGCGTTCTATGTTAGTCTCCAAAATCCATGTATACGGTAAATGTACGCCACAGTAAGATTGAGAGCGGTGTTCATGTTCCATGCTAACATTTGCGGGAGTAGGTGTATGATTGTATTTCAATATATCGATATATTTATCGACATAAACTTAAGATAGAGTTTCCTTTAAATATTTGGTCCCTTGCTCATATGAATCTCTATACTTATGTGTATAATTAATACCATTGTGTAGATATTTGCATATTTGGATGAGTTCGCATTATCAAGAACATACCTGAGTTGCTGAGCTTGAGCTGTGTATAGGAAGGCCTGCACTTCTCATCAGCTGCCACCGGCCTCCCATTTGAAGAGAAAAGGCTTGATATCTCAAGCACCCACCTCAAAACACGACCGTGTCCGCATAGAGGAGTACAGAGATGACGAAAGTGTGCTGGTGGCAGAGGTCGATTGTGAAGGGAATGGCAAAGCCAAGTGCAAAGAAATGGACGTGAAGTCTTACCCTGCTGTGAAGCTCCTCGGCCTTTACACCGGTGAAGCTCCTGTGGTTCAAGGTCACTCTGGTGAGGCTGAGTTCACTATCAACTCGCTTCAATGATCTCCAATCCTTGATGTCAGAGTGGAAGGTATTGAAGAAGACCTCGAGAAGATTCATCTATCCAAATGCTCTTTATCCTCCTCCAATGCCTTTATTGGAACGCCTTGAGACAAATCAATACAATCCTTGAGTACTTGACAATGCTTGGAGTCGACAGCAGCTCAGGTATGGGGATCCCTTCAGTCTTGAGGAGACACATGGACCATCATGGACCTTGCCATTCGCTTTGCGACTTCGAGGGGCACGGATCTCGTTTTGGAACCGTTCCAACTAGAATGAGCATGGACATGTCATTCTTAGGTTGGCACAGAAAGCTTTGTAGGATCCTGCAGGGGCTGTTCCATGTACTTTCCTGAAGGTATTGATGTCTATAAATCAACGGCCCCGGGGCACTTCGAAGGACTACACTGGCGGCCGTGACCTTCCGAGCTTGCAGAAGTTCGCTCAGGCTGTGCGATGGCGGGCGCAGCCGGAGCAACCTGCTCACAGTAGTTGAAGGATGTTGAAGGCACCTTCAGATTGAGTATTTGAACACAAGTCATCAGAAGTCTTGGACTACAGTAGTTTGTGAATAATCCTATTGTACTGTAGCATGGAAGGGAAACAGGGCCAAGTAGCATCCACTCATCAATATTTCAATTTTTCCGTTATAAAATTTAGCAAAACCAGAGAGAGAGAGAGAGAGAGAGGTGATGAATTTAGTTTTCTAGTAGGGGCTCCTGGCCTTACGACTAGGAGCAAGAAGCTACTAGGGGCTCCTGGCTTGACTCGTGACTTCGCCGGAGCTGCCCCCGGGTCCCCGAGCGTCGGCTGTGAGGACCTGACGCCTGCTTGTGGTCCAGAGAGGCTGGACTGGTGTGACAACAAGCGCAAGAAGCAAGTCCAGGTGAGGACCGCGGCGTGTCACTGGGCACCTCCCGTGTTCACCCTACAAACGACCTCCTGCGGGCCACACCGCAGGTGGGGCTGGAGACTTGGCCAAGTCCCATACCTCTCTTGTAAGGTTCATGATTCATGGATATGGGTTTTGAGGATGCAGGAGCCTTGCCACTTTGACCCACCCGGACGGGCAGTCACCATTTTGGTTTCGCAAAGTTTACCACCTTCGCCACCAGGGCTACATGGACTTGCCTCCAGAGGAGTTGGATGCCAAGGTCAAGGAACAGGAGGACTCCCTGGCAGCAGTGCAGAAGGACCGGGATGGGTGTCTTCGATTTTTTGCTTTTGCTTGTCTCCCTCCTGCACCAGAACGCTCACACATCTTCACACCGAACGCTCTGGACGCGTCTAGGCTTGTCGCGGCTCAACTGGGTGGATTCTTCCGGGTCGCGTCGGCTGGCGGCGGCTTTTCTCACTTCACCCGTCTTTCCATGCACATTCGCAGGGTTCCTGGGCGGTGGAAGGGCCCTTTCGCCAGGAGGTGGATGACCTACTGCAAAGCATGCAGAAGGAATACGCTGAAGCACGGCAGCGGAAGGTCCTGGACCTCAGATGGTGGGACACGCGAGTGCGCCTTCTTGTATTGTTTTTCTCCAATTGTGTCGTGGAATCAGCGACTCACATCTGTGCCATTCGATGCTCCCACCCCCAACGTGCCTAACTTCCCACCCAGCGACTTTCCGAAAAAGACCGGGTCTCCGACGCTCTCCGCCCCAGCGCAGCGGGGTCGAAGAGAACCCATGAGGAAGAGAAGGTGGACGAGATCCGGCGCGGCGGGCTTGGACTCCTGAAGATGGTCCAGGCTGGCGCACGGCGCGGCCAGAGTCCCGGAAAGCGTTAGACAAAACAGGGTTGGTCATAGGGATCCTTCTCAAAAAGAGGAGGCAACGCGAGTTTCTTGAAGGTTTGGTTTCGATTAAGGGTGTGTGGCTGTGATGGACATCTGGGGATCCTCCACCTTCGGATCTGAAGCGTCGAGGCTTACCGACTTCGCCAAGGCTGAGGAGGCGGCAGATCGATAAGGGACCTGTAAGTGTCTGGAGGATGCCGTCTGGTGCGAGATTCCTGATTAAGCTTGATGGCACTCATTGGGAGTAGGACTTCTTGAGAAGGGCAGCCCAGAATCCCCTAGCACCACTGAGAAGGGCCTGGGGCCTGGACGCAGGTGATTCACCACGTCCACCAGACCTGGTAGGGCTCAATCTGATAGGAGGACGGCCGCCATTGCTTGGTGCCTCATTGCCAGGAATTGCACATTGACCGAGCACACAGTCTGTGAGCGGGCCGGGCGTGTCCCAGGCCCCCTGAGCAACAGGGGACTTCAAGAAAAGATGTTCCATGAGATGCCCATCTCCTCCCCGCTTTGGCAGGGTTGCAGCAGTGGGGTGTCGAGTTGGACTGAAGGATTGTCCACATACTTTACCTTGCACTTAGTAAGGCACCTGTTGCTACTAGCGTGGCACTTGTTCCTACAAGCTTCTTGTTACTACTAGTAAGGCACCTGTTACTACTAGCGTGGCACTTGTTCCTACAAGCATCTTGTTACTACTAGTAAGGCACCTGTTACTACTAGCGTGGCACCTGTTACTACTTGTTGGTTTGCCTCATTTCTGGGAGACTCGCAACTGCGACCCTGCCTCAGCAGCGAGACTGAGATCTCCAAATCTGATGCACGCTGCGAAGAGTGTGGGCGCTTCCAGTGCACCTGGAGATGGCTCGATCACCTGAAAGACAGGTTGGACAGGAGCTGCGACCTTAAGCTGTGTAGAATGATAGCTAGAATGAAGTGATGGAGCGCATCCAGATAGAAAAACCCATGGCAGGACGCGTCGCCGAGTGGTCCGGTGGAGCGGACGACGGGGTGAGTCAGTGTAGGTGCTGCTGCTTGGTGGCGAGGTTCGGAGTGAGTCCTGATTGGTTGACTGAAGTGTTTAGCATGGCCGGTAGTAGCAACCTCCCACAGGCCTTGACAAATCGGAGGCTCAAGAACAGCAGGTCTAAGCCTTCCCCAGCTGTTCTCCTACTCTACCCTTGTACCAGATCAAGGGCTTGGCATCAACATGTTTTACCAATCGCAGTTTGATGTGCAGGCGTTGAAGATGGTGCTGCTCTCAGACTGGCGAGCTCTGACAGTCGTCGCAGTACTCAGCGATGCGGAATCAAGCCCACATCATTGTGGTTGCAGCGGAGTGAGTGAGCCTACGAATGAGGTTGGAGGCAACTATGAACTGTCATGAATCTTTGATGAAACTTCGGCCAATCTATGCCAATCCCCAAATGGCTCACGAGTTTGGATGTGGCCGTGGGTCACAATGCACACCTAGGTGACTAAAAATGAACGGAGGAACAGACATGCCAAGCCGCCGTTGGAAGTGAGGTGCGCAAGCGGCGGGCCCAGCGAGACCCAGGAGTTTCGGCGTGCGAGTTTTTTCGCTGCGCCGGGTCGGGGGCGAAAGCAGGGGGGATGAACGAACTGAGCCGAGTTTTCATCCTTTGAAGTGGGGAAAAGGATGCAGCGCAGTTTGCCGGCGGGTGGGTCAGAGTTGCAGCCAACCCTCGTGCGAGCAATGAGCACTGCTTGCGGTACACACAATAGCCTAGTCCTACTGGGAGGGAGGGTTGGTGAGATGACATGTGGCCATGTTCTTGTGTTCCCACCCCCTCCTGGTGGAAAACCTGCATCCAACCTCATTCGCCTTGGCTTTGCAGGAGAGAGGAGCAGAGTTGAAATCTTAGTCATTTTGATCATGTCAGATCTAAGCTTACAGCATTTCTGATGGGCACTGTCCTGCTCGCCGGGCGGCCTGTCCAGCGAGGCTGAGATTCCACAAAGGCTGGAAACACCAGGCGTGGGGTTACGAACTGCTTTTTTTACATACAGGTTGTTTGAAGTGACCAGCTGCTTTCCAGCACCGCTCCCAAAACCTGGCCACTTGTGTTTAATCCCTTTCTCCTGCAGGCGATGGGAATGTGCCGAAATACCTGCGGCTCTCCTGCATTTTGCGACCAGTTGCTGCTCAGGTGCCATGTGTTTGGCAGGGAGAGTGCAATTTAGAAGACTCTTTTTATTATGTGAGTGTGCATAAAGGCCCTCGTGCGCGCGCTTTCATTTTGTCATTCTTCTGTTTGGGGTCTTTTGCCGGGATAGTGTAAGGTGACATCTGGATATCATGATATCCTCATCTCTACGCCCTCAACTTCACAGCCAGGTGCCCATGCCCCCACATAGCCAGCGGCGGAAGCGCCGGCCACGGCAGCAGCCCAGGGCCACGCCAATGAGCTGGAGCGAGGCGAGGTTCCCTTTGGGTCACGGTTTTGGAAGACCCCACAGCAAATCCAAGCAAGGTTTGATCTGAAAGAGGCCATTTAGGGCTAACAGCCAGCTTCCGGGAAACTGTGCACAATTTTTGTCAAACAATACCAATCTTTCAAGTCCTTGTTATTAGCAGGTGCACTAGTTCGCACTTTGTGTGCCCGGCGCGGCACAGTATGTGTGCAGGGGCCGTAATTGAGAGCTTCAAGATTCCCCGGTTCCCTCCGTTTGTGACTTCAAAGCCCTTGCTTCCTGCCTTTGTTCCAGCTCCTTCATGCAAGTCTTCCTGGGACCGCCCACCGTTTGTTTCACCCACTCTTGCAAAACCTTTGCCAGCTGCGGGACGCTTTGGGGCTCACAGTGGCTGCGGGTCTGGGGCCGCTGCTGCTGAAATGTGCCAGTGGCGAGCATCGCCTTCCTACTGGAGTGACTGGGTAATGGAGTGAGTGGCGAGTGGTGGCGGGATCCAGGACATTTCAATCAGTGTCAGTCTATCAGGTCGGGTTGATGATCAATCCTTCTTCGCGTTCATTGAAGTTTGGGACAGTTTGGGTTCTTAGTCTCCTGAGACTGCTGTGGGGGGCCATCATCATTGCTTTTCCAGCTAATTACAGGTTGGGGCTGCCACTACTACCAGGTGGTTGCCATGGTTCCCCATTTGCGAAGCCAATGTCCGAAGTCGGGCGCGCCCAATCGATTTACTGGTGCTTCGTTGATAGCTTGGTGGATGTTGGTCCGGATTCTCATGCATTCAGCTGTGTGGAGCCCTTCATCTCGGCTTGAATCGCTTGAAGGTTGTTTGGGCCCTAGGGAGCATGATGAAAAACGCGTGACCGCATTGCAACGGAGAATTTCGGTGTCCCATCCTCATGTCCCACCGGTCCGGAGCCTAGGTCTGGATAGTCCTGGACCCCATGGTGGCGGAGCGGCTGCGAAGAGACACGGTCACAGAGGCGGTCTGAAGGGATACCATGATCGATCCAGTTAGTGGGTTGGCCGCATGTATTATGATGACATTCGACTGAAGGAATTTGTTGTACTGGAGCTGGGATTCAAGCACTAGATGCTTAGCTACCAATTGCATTCACCGTTTCTTCAGCCATATCCTTCAGAGCCCGGTGGAAAAAATCCTTTGTATATACACTGACACTGACCCTGCTATACTGACTATCAAGCGGTTCATGCGGTTCACTACTGTCGGACAGATCTCCAGAGCCTGTCCTCCCCGACGAACACCCAACACCCTTGCTACTAGTAGCGATGCCAGGAGCTACTAGTAGCGTCCTGGCTCCTAGTAGTAGTGCCCTTTGTTACTAGTAGCTTCTTGTTACTAGTAGCGATGGCCTCCAACCTACTTGCGATGGCCTCCACCTAATAGCGTCCTCGCTGAAGCGCAAACTTCTATGTCCATCCAAAGCGTCATAGAGTCACAGCAGGAAGAGCTCGCTGAGGTCCGTTTCGGGGCCGGATGAAGTTTGGCAAAGGGACAAGTCCCCGAGCGCGAAGGGAATGAAGTTTGCCGAGTGATTGTGGTACAAAAGCCGGTTTCAGTTCTGTTTCCTAGGTATATACAACAACGGCATTTGTTTCTGAATGCCTGAGAGGCAATTTTCATGACCCACTGACCTCAGACCTTCGAAGTTTGAAATGCATGTGAGCTGCACTTATGGAAACTTCTTATTAATAAATTAGAACTGCCTCTTGTGGCCGAACCCCTGGCAATGAACGCATCAGGCGGCTGACTTGCCTTTGGGCAGCAGGCCCTGCGCTGGCAAGGCATCTCTTGTGGGATGGATTGGGGACGGACGGTCCTCTGTGGGGTGTGCCGGATTGGGACCGCAGCAGAGGCAGTGGCAGCGGCAGCAGGAGGGCACTGCATAGGAAAATCTGTAGGAACACCATGGAAAACCTATTGTTTGGGCTATAGACAGGGGCTTCTGGCAGATTTTCCTGTAGAGAACAGCTCCAGGAGCACAGCATAGCCTCCATGATCATGACTTCATGCTTCGTTCCTCCAGCCAAAGCCAGGCCTGGGTGGCCCAACAATCCGTCACTCAGCTACGATCAGCGGCGACCCAGCGTTCGCAACGATGTCCCTACAGTTCTGAAGATTCTGAAGATCGGGGTTTGGAAGATCAGCACTTCCTTCTCCAGGTACGACTCGGTACGACGGCGCGATTTCGCATGTAGACTTGCCATGTTCGTTTGGGGGTGATCTAGGTATATCTGCTTGAAGGCAAGGATGGTGGTGTTTATGGCAGATGGCAGAAGCCTGAGCTCAACCTTGGTGGTGATACATAATTCAGATTAATTCAGTGTCAGGCATGGAGGCATTGGCCTCGAAGGGCTGGAGGCGATTTATATGGTGTGCGCGATGTGCGCGATGTTTTTTTGCGCGTGGGGTGTGAGAGGTGCAGGTAGGAGGTCTTAGTCGAAAAACACGGTCTGAGGTGCAAGTGCTTTTGGTGTTCAAGATGTTGACACAATGCCAGGCCTTGAGATGACAGGTTTTACGATTTTGCCTGCAAGGAGTCCTGCTGTGCGAACTGTGGGAAGCTTTGCCATGGGGAGGGGCATAACCTGTTGGGCAGCTAGAAGGACGGCAAGTCCATACTTGTTCTGCTTGCTGCCTTTAGGTTTGCCTTCGCCAGGACCATTCAAACAGTTAGAGGCTCCAATAAAAAGCTGGCACATATCAAACGCCTTTAATCTTCCAATGGTTCTGGTGAAAAGCTGCCCATATCACATATCAAGAAAAGGGGCCTTTTCCAATTCCAAAGGAGGCTGTTTTGAGATTTGTTTCAGTCCCTCCGAGGTGTCCTCGCTACAGCTCCTGGACGAGGATGAGCTCACCTGGAGCGCGGCGGAGGTAGACAGGGGCCGGGCGGGTGGGGACAGACGCGAATGTGGGGATAGAATGTTAGGCAGAGAATTGACCATTTTCAAGCTAAGCGAAGCTAAAGAGGTCATAATTAGCTTGGCATAGTCTGTTTGACCTTGGTGCCCCAATTTCAAGAGATGGGAAGATTGGGCACGTGCTCTAAATGCAGTCAGGAGATGTACTGTAAATGTAAACATCTGCAAGTGTGCGAAGCCTTTTCAGCCACCACAGCCTTTTGTTCGAGCAGATCAGCTGGAGGCGAACTTCGCCAAATGCGCCCGGGGCTCTTGCTTTGTGGCCCTGAAGCATGCGGCCTTTGTCCTTAAGGCCGGGCGGTGGGTCAATCCACCCCTCCCGAGATCAGGTTGGACTGCCGTGGGAGATGGATCCTGCATTACTGTAAAATCACGGTGTGGGTCATACGGTCACACCAAGTCCAGTGGTCCATGCTATCTTTGTTGAGGTCAATGTGGGGGTGGTGGGGATTTCCTTCTCAGGCTGAAGAGCAGCAAAACACATGACATGGACCCCTGAGTCCTCACTCTTTGGCCTCATGGCGGACAGTTCCCCAAAGGAATCAAGAAGTCTCAAGTCTTTAATGTTAAGTTATACATACATATATATAATATATGTATCTCTCTCTAGATTATGTATTATATAACGAGCGATGTTCACTAGATGTTCAATGAGGATGCGCTTTCTTTCTCTCCCATTTGGGGCAATCGCAACGTGCTTGGGTGCAACTTCCCAATTTGCTCAAGGGAAATCGTGGGTGCTCTTGCCAGGCGCTTGCGACGAAGAAGTGTATGCAAGCGCAGGAGGCGCAGGGACCGGATCTTGCATGCTCAGTCTAAAAATGTTTTATGAGTTTGGAGCCTGAATGATTCCAAGCTGAAACTTTCAGAAAGCAGATCGTCACAGACGAATTTCTTGGAGTGAAGAGCTTTGGTGAAATTGACGTACCGCGACTTCTGATGCTAGGAAGGCGTAGAGCCAGAGAAGCCTTTGGAAACGACCTTAGAAGAGATCGATTCCAAGGCGGGAGGACGGAGCTCGAAGTGGGGCCGGGCGGAACCCAGGCGGATTCGCACATGGAAGAAGCTCCCCTCCCAGTTCAGGTATGCTCGGATTCCTTTTCAAGGGTTCAATTCGTTTGACCTTCAAGCCGGGTTTGCCCTTAATAGTTGAGCCGTAAGTAAGGTCTTGGACAAGCACAATGGAGCAGCTCTGATTTTACGAGTTCACCTGAAGTCACTGACTATATTCTCCACAGTTTGGGACGGGTGCAATGTCGTGTCACACAGGGTGCTTTCGGGAAACCCGATGTTGGGGCTTCAGCCATCCACACCGAAGAAGATCGCAGTTGGAAAACCAATTTACAATTTCTAGATTCTAGCTCCCTTAAGACAAGTCCAGAATTTCAATCTTCTATCAGGTCTCAGCAAGGTTCAGATCTCAGCGATCAACAGTTTTTGTTTTGGCACTTTTACTGTACCGTTAATGAAGACTTCTCCGTTGATTCCCACCAAAATCCCATGAACCGCTCTTTTGGATCTCGCACACCCCTGGGCGATCCCACCGTGATGGCTGTTGACCGGAAGGTGAACCGCGCGGCCGGCCTGGTGGGCTCCCGCGCGGCCGCGGAGTCGCGGCGGAAGAAGTCGCCGGAGAGGCGGCGGAGAGACACGTCGTCCGGGTGGTCGTCGGTGTGGTGCACGAAGGGTGAGGAACACCCAGTGGCGCTGATGGCTGGAATAAATCAAGACAAAACATGACCATTATTGCTTCAACCACGGGTCGGATGAGATAAGGATAGAGGATATAGAGGGATAGACACGCTATAAATAGATGTTGGAAGAAGTATATTATTGGATTGAGCGATCGCTGTCATTTCATGCGTCAATTGGTTGACTTTTACATGATTGACAGGTGGGGGACCCCAATGATATGAATTGCTTTCTCGGCCTTGCCGCTTTGGCGTGGCAGTTTGTTAGCTTGAATCTCCGAAAGGTTTGTCTCACCGCCAACATCAGCTTCCTTAAACTCTCTCTGGTGCCAGCTTCAGTGAGTTGAAGCCAACCCATCCTCCTTCAGTTGACGCATCAAATCGACCCCGCCCCTGTCCCCAAACTGTCAAACGGTCAAACCGGCCAACAAACAGTGCACTTGTCAGCATGTGGTTGTGTGTGGCTTGTCAGCATGTCAGCTCGTCGTTGAGAGAAGTGGACGGACGCTGCTCGTCGACGCTTTCGTGCCGAATGCCATTGACCTGCCGGTCGGATCCCCGACGCTTTGCCGAGGCAAAAGAAAGCGCAAGAGCCAGCTCCAGAGTCGGTGAAGTGCCTGCATTAAACTGTTTTCAGATGTTTTCAGAAACCCATTCGTGAGAAGGATGTGGTCTGGCAGGTGGTTAACTGTTAACTGTCATGAGATCGTTTTGTTTTGCCTTTGTAGTGTAGTACAACTGGTTGTACGCAGTAACATGAACGTAACAGCGACTGTAAAGGAGCTGTGCAGGCTCAAGGCGATTCTCGACCTTCCCCTGTCTCGGCGGCATGGCGGCTGCCGGGCCCCTTGTGCAGTGGACTCCTCGCGAGATTCGGCATGCGACTGCCGAGGTGTCCACAGATCGTTTCCGCTGCTGCTTGAACGCGCTGCTGGCATGGCTGGCCGCTTGTAGCTGCCTCTTGGACGAGCTCCCTTTCGACCTCCAAGACCACTTTCGCCTCTTCGTGGAGATTTTGGACACCTTGCGGACCGAGGTCGTCCTGACATTGGGTCGAACCTATACCAGTCCACAAATGACGCTTCAATGGCGCCAATCAGATCGGACTCTGATCCCTACGCAGTGTGACCACCTGGCGCACGGCCTTTCAGACCTTCTTGCCGGAGTTCACCTCCAGATTGCGGACGTCTGGACGAACCTGTTTGAACAAGATTGCCTGCATTTCGGGGCTCTTGTGGAAGCTGTTTCCGGGACCAGTGAGTGGCGTGTTTGTCCGAGCAGTGGCTGAGGTGTACCGACGCCACTATCAGCCATCAATGCACCTGTGCATGGGTAGACCGCCAGGAGAAATAGCGTGAATATGAATATGCGTCTCACCGGACAGACGTTGCCCCAATGCCCGACCACTCTGTCGATCATTGGTTGGGTCACTTCGCGCCCGGAGTGTCCCCTCTCTCGCGTTGGCAGATGGCCAGGGACGGCCGGTTCCCTGACAAGTTGACCCCACGTTTGGGGCCTCCCGGGGCCGAGTCGTCAGGTCGCCTAGGGTCCGGGTTTCACGCAACCGGGTCTGGTGTTTGTGTCATTCTCCAGCTCTGTCGTGACGCCGCTCGGGTCGTCTCGAGTTCGTCCCGGTTCAATCCCCTGTCGACTTTGAGAACTGACTTTTGATCACCGTGAGTCGAGCGGGCTCCAATGATCCACCCCGCCCGATGATCCAACCGGTTCCCCGTCCGGAGCCATTAGCGGGATTGGACTCGACCGCGGTTGGCCGAGGCGCGGCCCCCCCACGCCCAGGGGCGGCTGCAATGGTGCTGCTAGGCTGCTAGGACCGGCGCGGCCCACGGAGCATTTTGTCGGACGGCTCCAGCGCCCCGCACGACTGAGCCGTGAAAGCCCTTGTTGTGTTATCGAACTGACCCCCACAGAGGGGCGTCGGCGACCTTCCCTCATCCAGGCTTAGAGGCGGATCGCCCGTGGCCGACTAATTCAGGGATTTACTCGTTTGTGGCTGGGCGCTCCACATCTCGTGGGCAGTGGTTTGCGGGGGAGTTGACACCCGCATCTGAGCTGGCAGCTCCCCCCAAACAATTGATCGACCTCCAAGGGCGAGGCTTGGCCTTGAACCTAGGATGACGAATAAGAGCTGCTGCGAACCGTTTCGTCCCCGGCGGCCGTTCGGCGACCACCCCCGTTGGGTCTTTTGGGGTTTCCCCCGTTGTTCTTCGAGGGTTTCCCCCCCCCCCGTCTCTCTCGGTGGGGGCTGGTTTTTCTTTCTTGCCGTCCGGTTGCCCGGACCGTCCGATCGCGCCGCTCGTGTCATACCGGGAGTTGCGGCAGGTTCAGGTAACCCAGGCATGAGTCCTGTGAACCGAGAGTTCGGTCTTTGCAGGGTGGTGGATCCTTCTGAAGTTCATGCTGTTTTCTTCGAAGCTCCGCCGATTTCGACCTGTCAACCAGTGCCTCCGTGCCGAAGGCTCAGGCTCTATAGGTTGTAAAGGGCACGAAACAAACGATGATGGCGACGACCTTGCCAACGCTCGAGGCTGTGCTCGCCAACGCCGGAGCCGGCAGCGTGGTGGGCGACTACTTGAGGTCCAGAGGGATCACGGCAGTGGGCGCCTTTGCCAAAGTGGCTTCCACGGAGGACGCCCTACGTACCACGTTGGTACAACCCCTTCTTGCAGGGTACAAGAAAGGGGAGCTGCGCCTCACCGTCGACGAGGCCGACAAGCCCATCGTGGCGGCCGTGATGGTCACAGCCTGGGAAGAAGCTAAGCAGATCTGGGCACAGTACCTTCGAACGTCGGCAGCCCCGGCTGCCGGCAGCGAGGACAGGAGCGCAGCCTCCTATCGGCTCAGATGGAAAGCCTCCCAGCCAGCTACCCACCGGAGTGTGGGATGCAGCCATCCAGCGATACAACGCAGTCGAGCCACAGGGAATCCCACGTTCTTCTCCGGAGCGCGAATTGCTCGGAGCGGAAGCCACGCTGGCCCGCATGCACCACGAACACACAGTGTCCAAGATGTATACCCCCGTAGGTCTGGGTGAAATCATGGCAAACCGCAGCTTCACCCCCACCGGTGAGCCCAACCCGTCGCTCAAACCCCAGCAAACCACGCAGGATTTAACCGTCGCCGGAGACAGGCTCACCCGGGAGGCCCGGAAGGTGTGGCAACCAAGGTCCATGTTGGCCATCCTCGATGCCCTGAACAGCATCCGATGGGCGTGGATCCTGCTGGACTTCGGGCCCGAACTCGTCATTCACGAGTTCTGCGACTGGCTGCGTACAAGAGCCAGGCTGCACCCGCAGAGGCTCGATCAGTTCAAGAGTTACTATGACCAGATCTCCTGGCAACTTGCAACTCTTATGAGGAGCAACCTCACGTTCGCTGAGGCCACGGGTGCAATCCGTGAAGACACAGAAACATACCAAAAGGCCATGGCCCCAGAAATCTCGGCGGCGCCAACAGCCCCAACCAAACGTCGCTGTGAAGGCGAAACCCATGATGAATCCCGGGCCAGGAGGCAACCCAAGGGATCAGGCAGGGGCAAGTCGGCCGGTACGCCCCCTCACTGGACCCGTACTCCTCTAGGAAAGCTCCAGGCACAACCAGGGGTCCAGCCACCGTGGACCCACAGCACACAATAGCTCCAGCCGGCATGGAGCCTCGTTCCCATACCTTGGTTGGGCCCACAAACACAGACGGAGTGGGAACCCCGCATCACAGGACCAGGCTTAGCCCGCCAAGCCAAGCCTGTGCCAGCGGCTAGCAGACTTCAAGCTCGCACCACCTTCAGGAGTCGGTGAGCTCCAGGCGGGTGTTACAATTAGACCTCTGCTAGTGAGGCCAATGAGCATACCGAGATCGCCTCACAGAAAGGGGAAAAAGGTCATCCATCCGGTCCGAGCGGGTGAGCGGAGGGTCCGTTTTCCCTTTGGCGGGCCCCCTGGGCCACCCCTGCGCCAACCGATCGTGGTACCCGGCGTTTCGGGGTTTACCCTGGCTGCGAGGGGACAGGAGGCTCCCCCCCCCCTCTTTGGACCTGCGCTACGGTCGCCGTGTCGTCGTTGTCGTGGTGACAGGCAGTGATTAATAGTGGGTCTTCTCACTTGCCCAGACTGGCGATCTGGGCAGTAGAAGCGTCAGTTCCAATCGGACCACCGAAGGGACCCGTTGGATCAATCGGGTTCTGGTGGACGAACCCGCCGGAGGACAAAACGAATCGGGAGCTGGAGCTTCACCGCCAGCAGGCGCGGGCGACTCCAGTTCAGCCCCCCACTTCTAGAGGGACTTCCATACTCCTTAGTCTAGGAGTGATCGTCTGTTTCAATTCACTCTCTCTACCGCAGGTGCATGTAAAACGGGAAGTAAGCCAGTTTTCCAGCACTTCGCTCATCAGGTGGACGGTTTTGAGACTTGTTGTCCTCGGCCCCGGTGCAGGGTGGGGAACTCCCCGGGCGGACTTGGACGGAGTTCCAGCACCAGAGGCCTGAGACTGGCCAGGAGAGGACCTTACCACACCTTAGACGTATTAGAAAAAAGGGATGCGAGGGAGCGGCCTTTTCATTCAGGTAGCTTGGAGTGATGTTGTGTAGTACAACTGGTTGTACGCAGTAACATGAACGTAACAGCGACTGTAAAGGAGCTGTGCAGGCTCAAGGCGATTTTCAACCCACCACTCCGCTCCCTGTCTTCTTTGTACTGGGCCTGATCACGCCCATTGACACACCGTACTTGGACTCTGACTGAGCGCGACCTGCGCATGCAGTATAGCCACCTCCTGCTTATATTCCGGTGATCACGCTTCCGACCATCGGTCCTTTACCTTCCTCTCTCAAAGAGAGATACTCTACTTCTCACCTATTACTGAGGGCGACTTTCGCCCGTTGGGCGCAAGTTCCTAGCACTCGTGATGATGGTCATGCCTACGACCATCGATTCATTCCCTTCTATCTCTCGATGAGATCTTTGTATGCAGCGAGTTTCTCGCTTCTCTAGGTCTTTTTAGACCCTTGCGATGATGGCCATGCCTGCGACCATCGATTCATTCCCCCTTCTGTCTCTCGATGAGAGTGGTTTTGTAGGCAGCGAGTATCTCGCTTTCTAGGTCATCTTAGATTGTTGCGATGACGGCCATGCCGACGACCATAGGCTCATTCCGTTCTATCTCTCGATGAGATTCTTCCACATGCAGCGAGGATCTCGCTCATCTAGGTCCTGAGCCAAGCTCTTCGGCCAGAACCTTGTTCTCCGTATACATGTATATATTTCATTTCTCGGCCTCGGGCTGGACTTGGACGGAGTTCCAGCACCAGAGGCCTGAGAGGACCCTACCACACCTTAGACGTATTAGAAACTAGACGACGAGTGGCCCGAAAGCATTTTTCATCACGTAGGAAGTCAGAGTGCGAGTTATCCGGTAAGTGTGCAGTGAGAAGTGTGAAGTCGAGTGAGTTGAGGTAGTGTGTGGGTTTCTGTGCGTGTGTCTATGTCCGTGTGGAAATGAGTCTGCGTATGTGTGTGTTCGTGTAAGTTGAGGGAGTGTGTGGGTGTCTGTGTGTGATGCGGCCTCCCAAACACCCCACCGGCGGCCAAGCGGTGACAGCCCAGCTCATCGTCGAAGGCCCAACCAAAGGAAGCACGGCAGCCTAAGACCTCAAATTGACTGAGCAAGTTTTCTGTCTGATTGAGACCTGGACGCCTCCACTGCTTCATGAATTTGGCTGTGCCCAAGCGGATGTCATAGGGGCCACGAAAGCAAAGAGACTGAGGGCCATGAGCTTTCACCTTGGCAATGACCTCGGTCTCGGACGTCAAACCGCCCAACGCAGTCAGTCGCTCAGCGTTGACAAGTTTACATCTTCCACGACGCCAGTGCAATCAGCAATTTGTGCGTGTGCCAAGACGGCCTCTTGGCCTCTCTCAGTCGTACAGCCATGCATTGCACTCCTCTTACAAAGGCCGGTCTCCGCGTCGATCTTTGTGTAACAAAGTTTGCAAGCTGTGTAGACAGGATCGCCGCGGATCTCAGTGATCCATGCATTGTGTAGGACCACTTCGACTTGTTCCTGTGTGAACAAAGATCATGAGGGAAACAAACAGAGCAAAAGTCCAAAAATCATGAAACTACATTGCGCCGGAAATTCGGCAAACCAGCGAACCATACCTGCGAGTAAATGCCAACACACTGCGGGAAACAAAATAACAGCGGTCCTCGGGAGCGCCGTCCTCAACCGCCATGCCATACGCAGCGACAGTGGCCGCGCAGGCGACGTAGCAGGCTCCCAGATCTGACTTCAGGCGGCCGCCGCCGACAAGGGACGGAGCCCGTCAAGAACGGATCCGTCGCAGTCATCGCTTCCAGGCCAGTAGGCACAAACTCCTCCTCAGCATCATCTGGAACACCTGGCGTATGGGTCAATGGCTGTAAAAAACTAGACGACGAGTAGCTGCAAAAAAATGCTGAGTCCAACTACGGCAGCCAGCGTGCTGGCTTACCCACTGCAACTATCATGGTAGCCAGCGTGCTGGCTTTCCATCTGGACAATGGCAGCAAGCAAGCTGGCTTCCACTGCCTGTTATCAAAGGCACGTGTTACTTGTACTACCAAGTCGCCAGTTCTCATCTTCCAGCTCCCCAGCTACTCCGCGCACTACAGTTATATACTACACCGTCGCCAGTTCGCAGCCACTACCCACTCGCCAGTTCTCCTCTTCCCATTCCCCAGCTACTCTGCGTACTAAAGTTGTACTACCAAGTCGCCAGTTCTCATCTTCCCAGTCCCCAGCTTCTCTGCGTACTAAAGTTGTACTACCAGGTCGCCAGTTCTCATCTTCCAGCTCCCCACCTACTCCGCATACTAAAGTTGTACTACAAAGTCGCCAGTTCTCAGCTACTACCCACTCACCAGTTCTCATCTTCCCACTCCCCGGCTACTCTGCATACTAAAGTTGTGCTACCAAGTCGCCACTTCTCATCTTCCAGCTCCCCCCGCTACTCCGCGCACTACACTCATGCTGCAAAGTCGCCACTTCGCAGCTACTGTCCACTCACCAGTTCTCATCTTCCCACTCCCCAGCTACTCTGCGTACTACATTTGTACTACCAAGTCGCCAGTTCTCATCTTCCAGCTCCCCAGCTACTCCTCGTACTAAAGTTGTACTACAAAGTCGCAAGTTCTCAGCTACTACCCACTCATCCGTTCTCATCTCCCCACTCCCCAGCTACTCTGCGTACTAAAGTTGTCTTACCAAGTCGCCACTTCTCATCTTCCAGCTCCACAGCTACTCCGCGTACTAAAGTTGTACTACGCAGTCGCCAGTTCTCAGCTTCCAGCTCCACAGATTGCTCCGCGTACTAAAGTTGTACTACAAAGTC